ACACTGTAAAGCAATTCCCACATGCAGATCTACACTTATTGCATATGCTATACCATATTAAACATATTTGGATAACATTTACAATGTATACAGGTTAGAGAAAATTAGGAAGTATTCCATTTTACAAGTATGCATCATTATTGGATGTGGATTGTGGTTTCATAATCTATACTTATATTAAAAGGAGTCATATTTACCAAATTAAGTAGCCAGAAAAGTCAACAGCATTTATTGCATTACTATTTCCGTATTATACAATTTATATTTCTATTTATTTAATTGATTGATTTATTTGTTTTATTTTAAAAAGGTAAGTATAATAAAAAGATTTTAATAATAAAAAAATCAAATACCAAATAAAAATGTACACTTTGACTTATTTGATTATATTTGGTATTTGATTATACCAAATATATTCCTATTTAGTATACACATTAAATACTTACTAAAGTATTTATTTGTTTTATTTGTCAAAGTTAAGTATAGATTTGTTTATATTATCAAATCATAAAAAAATATTAAATCCATATTGTAAAAAAAAAAAAACATATAATTTTATAACAATTCTACTATACTATTTAACAATATTTTTTTTATTATATAATAAAATAATAATTAAATATTATATGGTGAACAACAAATAAGTAAAACTATTACTTTCTCTTATATCAAGGGATAAATTTATATGCTAAAATTAAATTTTTATCAGTATAAATGTTTTACTGAGATAATATATTAATTATTTTACAAGCTAGTCCTAACATGCTCATATTTAATGTTTTAAAAGATGTAAAAAAAAACTTATAATAACTCTATTGTTTTTTAGACTTAAACGTTGATTAAAAGAGGTAAAAATTCCTAATTTTTTAGACTTAAACGTCGATTAACACCATAGATTGAGAGTTTATATTTAGTAAAATTCCTAATTGTAATAAAAAAATTAATTTTTGCTATATTTTAGAATATCTTTAAATTCATTATAAAAAAAAACTACAATGAAAAAAGCAAGTCGGCTATATATCGATTTGTTGTACTCTTCAAATCACATTCACAATTTGGCTACAAGGAAAGGAAACTCATTGATTAAAATATTATTTTATAAGTAGTCTTAATGTATAAGAGACTTTAAGACTCTACTTGAATATTATAAAATTTTTATTGAACATTGTACAATTTTCTTGCGTATTATAAACTTTTATTGAATATTGCATCTTATAATATAATATTCTCCAAATAAATATATCCCGTGCTTTGCACGGGTCACGTACTATATATATCCCGTACATTTTTTTTTATTCATGTATATAATTATAAGTCTGGATAAATAGCCTTATCGCACGGGCTCTGTACTAGTATTTCGAATAAAAATTTAATATTAACTTATACTGAGTAATGTGTAACATGCTTCTATATGAAATCCATATGTGCGACATATAATAATGTCAAATAAAGACAAATGACGTTAAAAGGATATCTTTTCCCCACCCAATAGCATTACAATCCTTTCATAATTCTACCTCAACATAATAATTTGTACACTAAATTGGTAATATAATATTTATTTTCTAAAAATATATCTGCAAAATAGGATCCATTATTTAAATATATTAGTTTGATGTGTCTCAGTTACATGAGTGAAAAAATTTCAAATTATTATATAAATATAGCATTATTATATCCCAAAACTACAATTAGAAAGTTTGAGATATGCGGATTTGTTTTGTCGCTTAGTAAAAGCAGAATTGCATTATTAGTAAAATATAAATGCAAGTTAAAATATTGATATGAGAAGATACCAGAGCATGTATGGATATACGGAAAAAGGATTAAATGGTAATTAAAATTGTACTGAGTGCGGCGTAGTGGTTAGTTAACGGACGTTAACGTAAACGTTTTCCTCTGACCGTTATTTGCCAGTCTATATAATGGGCAAAGGCAAATGTTAGTGCTTTGTAATGCTTTCTTTATTCACTCTCTCGCTCTCTGTAAACTAACTCCTTTTTCTCTTTCAGAGCAATCAATAGTTGCTCTGTTTTATGTCTGACTGTTGAAAGTTAGTTTACAAATTACACACATTTTACACACACACATAGAAAGAGAGAGAGAGAAAAGGAGAGTGCGCTAGCTATTAATCAATGGATTTGAAGAAAATTCTGTGCCTGTTTTGTTTGGTGCTTCTTTCAGGAGCTTGGGCTCGTGAGCTTCAAAAACATCAATCACGCCAATTTAGGTAATATAAAGGAAAAAAACACTAATTATTGTGAAATTTTGTTTATCATCTTGGTATTCCTCCATTTTTTTCTGAAATTGTGTGAGCTTTCATCTCAATTCGCTTCGTGCCTTATGGAATTCTCAAATTTATTTTCAATTTCACATGCATTTTGCACAAAATGCCGTATCTATTTAAGCTATTTTTTGTACACATTTCATTATTTTTTTTATCGGAGCGAAATGCTGAGCTGAACAAATTGGTACTCTTTTAATCACATTTTTGAGTGAGTTATTCTTTTTNGTGCTGAGAAAGAGAAGTTGCAGAGCTCGAAGAACTCAACAATGGCGGATGAGTAAGTGAAAAACGACTCAACCTTTGCGCATTACAATGTCTTCATATCTGAGCCGTCAAAATAGTCCCCTTTCCCACAACGATCAAATCTTAGCCGCTGGATCTGATCCACTTACCACCCCTACATTTAATTAACGTCTCTATAACTACCGAAATAAAAATAAAAAAAATGAAACAAATAATTTCATTGATATGTACAATAATACAAAATGTTACATTTGCATGTAATGTATATAATTTTTCGTTAGCGTCTTAAAGAGTTTTTAAGCCTTTTACAACTTTTTTCTGGAAAATTGAATAGTTATTATTCAGTTTTAATTATTATTATGAACTTTTGGAATAGAATTGTTGTTGCAAAGTGTGGGTAGCAACTGACACATCACGTGACATTCGGTTGGGTCATTTATTTTGCTTAGCGTCTTTTGGCTTTAAACATCAAAATTCAAATGGGGTGTTTTGTTTTTTGTCTGCTCTAATATGCTTAATTCACGCGCTCAAGTATATAATAATTTTTTTTTTTTGGAAAAAAAAAAAAATATATAATAATTTTTCTTATGCATTGATTTGGGAGAATATAAATGTTGCTGAAAATCATGTGATTTAGTTACGTAGTTCGGACTTTGAGTGTGTGTGTGTGTGTGTGTTTGTTTATTGCAGATCGGACGGTTATAACAAAGAAGAAGGTTTGAAGGAAGATTCGATGGACGATCCAGATGAGGTTGCAAGAGGGGTACAAATGTGAGTCCTCTGTCTCTCCCTATTTTTTGTTTTTTCCATCCACTTTTTGTTAATTTTTACGTGTAAGTATAAATGTTATTTGCAGGGAAGTCCTTGTAAATTGCAATTTAGTAAATTTAGTATGTAAAATCAATGTACTATTTGTTGGAACACTTATGAACCACATTGATTGATTTATTTATGAGAAATACTATATGTACATAATATTGTACACAGAGGTGTACATAACACTCACATTGAATGAAACTATTAAAAATAAAACATAAAGTATACCATATTAGGTACAATTAAAAAATTGAGCAAACCATGCATCCCTAATCATTAAATTTAATTAATTAATGATGCAACTTGGACTAATTCTTCTGTAATCTGTGGCACTGACAACAAGTCCCTTCCAAAGTTCCAATCCATGAATTTTGATAACGTGCGTTAACTTACGTAGTATGGTATGCCTTTTTTATGCGATCTTGATTGAAATTGAATGTCACAGTTGTTTTGTTTTCCGCATTCGCATCTCATTATTATTTATTTATATAATGATCAAATTTAGGAGATAAACTGAAAATAACCGTTGAGCTACATCTCTGATCAAATTTAGGGGTTTGTGGGGTTGTGGTGATAGGGCTTTTTTAAAATACTCTATAACTTTTTTTTTATATTCTTTTTTCTTTATTTTTTTGTTTAAAAAATAAATATTAACGAATATGATATTCCAATTTTAATCGGAATCATTTGGTGGTTGGCGGGTAATTATTATTAATCAGTTAACGCCCCCATAACGCTACCGTGGTTAAATGCGTGTTTTCCGCTAAATTGCTTCATTAATTTGTCTGCTTCTTGGACTTTTTTTACGCTTACTTTTACCAAAAACTTTTGCCCCATAAAGTCAAAGATATATGTATTCTTGGACTCGTTTTTATGCTTACTTTTACCAAAAGACATATTTGCCCCATAAAGTCAAAGATATATGTATTAGTTTCTTACATCGTATGATTTAGTCATACTTAAAATTGATTATTCCCCGCGAAACACAATCTCAGTTTGATTCTTCGTACCATATGGATAAACTAATTTGTGTGTTTGAACTAACTTTATATCCATGGACCAAAAAAAAAATCATTACATTTTTCATTTTTATATCTTTTTGCGATACTATCTACCTGTCCTTTAATTTTTTGAGGTGATGAGATGATCACCCCTGCTGCAAATTCATGAAATAGCTCAATCTGACATTTCTTGTTGTAGGGCTAACTAATTATAAAATAAGGAAAGTGCTACAGTCCTGCGACATAACCATTCCTCCAAATAAAACTTCCAATAAAAAAATTGACATATCAAGCATCTCTTAACTACATCTAGCGGTCTCTATCAAATTAAAAGATCTAAACGATCAATATTGAAAGAACGAAATCATACCGTGAGGCGTGACGGGACTGTAGCCATTCCCAATAAAATAAATAACAATAAATAGTTAGAGAGAACAATCAAAGCATGATCTGAAGACGATATTGATGAGAGACAATGATATACAAACAGGGCTACAAGCAACAGCACTGAGCGTCGCAACCTAGGCTTCCTTTCGTGTGCGAAAGGGAACCCAATCGACGACTGCTGGATGTGCGACCCCAACTGGCACAAAAATCGCAAGCGCCTCGCCGACTGCGGCATCGGCTTCGGCCGCAATGCCATCGGCGGCCGCAACGGCCGCTTCTACGTGGTGACCGACCCTCGCGACGACGACCCTGTCAACCCCCGCAAGGGCACCCTCCGATACGCGGTCATCCAGGACGAGCCCCTCTGGATCGTCTTCAAGCGCGACATGACCATCACACTGAAAGAAGAACTCATCATGAACAGCTTCAAGACGATCGACGGCCGCGGGGCCAACGTCCACATAGCCAACGGCGCCTGCCTCACCATACAATACGTCACGAACATCATAATCCACGGCCTCCACATCCACGACTGCAAGCCCACGGGGAACGCTATGGTGCGGAGCTCCCCCACGCACTACGGGTGGAGGACGATGGCCGATGGTGACGCAATCTCGATCTTCGGGTCGAGTCATATTTGGGTCGACCACAACTCGCTCTCCAACTGCGCCGACGGTCTCGTGGACGCGGTCATGGGCTCGACTGCCATCACCATCTCCAACAACTACTTCACGCACCATAACGAGGTCATGCTGTTGGGGCACAGCGATAGTTACACGCTGGATAAGCAGATGCAGGTCACTATTGCGTTCAACCATTTCGGTGAAGGTCTCATTCAGAGGATGCCGAGGTGCAGGCACGGGTACTTCCACGTGGTGAACAATGACTATACGCATTGGGAGATGTACGCCATCGGGGGGAGTGCAGAACCGACTATTAATAGCCAGGGAAATCGCTATCTCGCCCCCGCCAATCCTTTTGCAAAGGAGGTGCGTAAATTACTCCACCTACTTTATTCCGCTTATGCATGTTTAAAATTTTGTTGATATGTACGTTTTTTTGGTCGTTCAGGTGACAAAGAGAGAATACACAGCCGAAAACAAGTGGAAGGGCTGGAATTGGAGGTCGGAAGGTGATCTCTTTCTCAACGGCGCTTATTTCACGTCATCAGGAGCTAGGACTGCAGCTAGCTATGCTAGAGCCTCGAGTCTCGGAGCTAAGCCCTCTTCAATGGTTGGTGTTATTACTTCTAATGCCGGAGTCACCAAGTGCCGCAGGGGCCGCGGGTGCTAACACTCACCCCATTCAATCCTAAAAATTGAAAACCAGACCTTTTTTTTTTTTCTTTCTTTCTTATTAGCTGTCCCAACTTTGCTTTTCTTTTCTCTTTCCCCTGTTTACTACTACTACTGCTGCTGCAGGGTTTTACATCATACCCCAATTTACATCTACTGTTTTTTGCTGGTTGTCCTACCTTTCCCTTTCAAATTCACATTGACAAGTGTACAATTTTTACACATGTCCAATATTCTCCACAAATACATTTCAACTTTGGATTATAGGAACAGGTACAGAGGGCCTTGCACATTGGCCCTTGTTCCTGTTTATACGAGGATTTAAGTGATATTGTAATTTTCTTTCTTCTTATTTCCTCACGTCATATAAGTTACAGAGTGTGAAAGTCGACAACTTTTTTGTTGAGTCTTGGTGAAGTTCTGTTATAGCTGATGGATGCATGGTGTAGGACAAGCTTTCATTGTCTTTCCCTTTTAACGATTTTTTTTGCTTTGGCTTTTATCATTGATGTTGTTTTAATTTGCTCGATTGATACTTGTTCATAACATAATTATTACACATGATGAACCATGTTCCACTAATCCACCTCCTTTTTTTGTGTTACTTTTAACTAAAGATGTGTGTTTATTACTGCATGTTACCCTGGATAAGTTGGTAGACCAAAAGTATTATCATGATTTCCAATATTATATGGGGAAATGATTTGCTTGGAGTACCTTTTAATCTTGCTAATCAATCCCAAAATTTGCGGAGTCTGTGTTTTCAATTCATCGTATTAAGAAGATGAATGCCAGTATGGCACTAAAAATAAATCTGTTGTTAATGTGTGAATTTAAGATATCTTAGTAACTTTCACAGTCAGAGTTTTTGAATTTTAAAAAATATTATGTTTTTAAAATAAAATGCTATACGTTTAAAAACTAGATGGGCAATTAGTTGGCATTAGTTTTTCAGAACTGGGTACTCATCTCTTTATATATAATTTCAAAACGCGATAGGATTAAGTGGTAACTTCGCACGCTTATAATCTTGTATGACAAAATATTACGCTTTGAAATATGACTCGTATAAAAATTATTACTTTCTTATACCAAAAAGCTTAAGTTTGAATTGACATAAATACACTTATTTAATATATTTAAATTATTCTATATAAACTAATTTACTGTCTTCTTTGCATATTATCCAATTTTCAAATTTTGTGTTTTGTCCATATTATATGCTTTTATGTTTAAAATAAAAACATTATAAATAAAACTAGTGATGTATATAACTCAGTTTTCAGAATTTAAAATAATATTGTTAATTCACTTAATTCTTTATTATGAATTATTATATATTGTTCCTTATTTATTTTCTAACTTTAACAATATATATAAACATTTTTTTTTCAGTCTTTATTGTACATTTAACTATTTTATCAAACAGTATACAAGTATCGTACTATGAATTTATTTACCATTGTCTAGTGAGCATGTTTGACTATATATACTATTATTACACGAGAAATGGTGCTCGAAAACGAGCTTTTATTTTTAGATTTTATTGCATAATCTTCAACAAATGAAATAAGCCACAATCCCTAAAACAAACACACCACAAAAGATCCTAAAATTTGAAAATGAAACTGATAAAAACTGCATGCAACCGCTGCCATTTACGGGGGCATCGCGGCGCGATGAGCCTCACAGCGCGAGGCTTCGAGCGAGGTCCCCTAGTCTCTGTTGGTCCGTGATGGTTGTCGCGGCGTTGCGAACTCGTGACACGTCACGGCGCGAGCCTGGAGTTTTTCAGCCTCTATTGCCTCGTGACGCTCGTCACGGCGTGACGATCTCACGAAGAGCTCTTCTCACGGTGTGTACAGGCTTCGCGGCACGAGGCCTGGGGCTTCTCCGATTCGACGTTTGCTGCACGGTTATACACTTGTCCTCTTGATTGTCAGTGATCGACTTAATTGATGGACATTATATCTTAAACGTGGGGAGGTAATTCGAGTAACTAATATTGGAGTATCAAATATAATTTCAGGGATGATAAGAGAATGCAATAGTGATTTCGTTAGTGGACCGAAACATTATTTAAGTAATTGGATCAAGAGGGCATGGCCCACAGTTGGGCCCAATGACTTAAGAAGCCCACATCATCACCTTCTTAGGGTCTCTGCTATAGCTCTATAAATACACCGTTAAGCTCATGGGATGAGAAGAGAGACCTCATATATTTTTACATATATTCAGCTGCCCTCCTTAGTTCCCATAACCGAGCTTTATCTTCATGTTTATTGCTCCACCAATACAACAGAGAGGGAAAATTTTAAAACTAGTCCCACAGGTTGAGGGGGGTGTCATTTTTAGCCACACAAGAAAGCGATTATCACAAATAGTCCCACATCTTTTAAAAACTAATCAAAAGTAGTACTTTTGATGCGATATCGGGTCTGAACGGCCCGATAAGACATGTGGTGCAGATGTGGCGTTTTTTTTTTACATGCTAGCAGCCTTCATCACACGTGGCATGACAGTAAACCTGTAAGACTAGTTTGGTTTTTTTCCTATTTTTTATATTATTAAGTAAATCTAAGACAACATTATGAATATATATAATTATTTGTATTAACTATTTATAAAAATTTTAATTATGAATAAGGATACAATATACATTAAGATAAAATTAGAAAATATTCTTAATTACTTTTATTTTGTATGTGTTATTTTTAATAGGCATTCTTTTAGCTTATTTTTAAAACGACAAAAAAACATTTTTATTTATCAAATAATTACAGTTAAAGTTTTTTATTCATGACATTTTCTTATAAATTTATTTTTATTTAATGAAAAATATAGTAAAAAATTGTTAACTATAATTATGTTAAGAATAAAACTAATTTTGTAATTTTATAATAATTTAATTTTATTGTTAATTTATTTTTAATAATTACTATATATCTTATTAAATAATCATAAAATTAAAAAATAAAAAAAATATGTCCATGAATAAAAATGTTAGCTATAATTATGTCATGAATAAAACTGTTTTTGTAATTTTATAAATTATACCATATATCTCGTTTTTATTACGTCGGAAATTGATTTTACAGTGTAGACGCTTATGACCTCTTCCTCCAATTAGGTGGCCATCCATCTGACATGTCACTTGGTAAATTGAATAAAATGGTTTTTGTAATAATTTAATTTTATACTTAATTTTTTGTATATTTTTTAAATAATTATAAAATTACATAAATAGTTACTATATTTTTTATTAAATAATTAAAAATTACCAAAAAAATATGTCATGAATAAAAATTATTAACTTTAATTCAGTTAAGATTAAAACTATTTTTATAATTTTATAGCAATCTAATATTATAGTTAACATTTATACCAATGATTTTTTTTTTATTTAAGAGAAAAAAGAAAACTAGTATATTTTTATTAAATAACAAAAAGAATTACAATTTTTTTTTTTTATAAATTTCAAATGCGAATATTCGATTATAAATCAATTTAAACATTGAGCAGTGCTTGAAAAGTTAACCAAATATTCATATTTTTAAATAAGTTACCTTTTAAAACGAATAATTCTAAGAAAATATAGATAAAAAATTCATATAACATGATGTTTCTAAAATTATTTGTGGTCATCCCAAATTGAAAGAGCAAACCAAAAAAGAAAAAGTAATTAATTTTTTATTTTCCTATATATGTAAATATATCAGTCTTGAAGTGCACAAATGACACGAGTTGAGAAAATCAGTATCCGTAACTCCAAATATTGTTAAAAAGAATAATTCTACGAAATTTTTTTGAAGCATTGCACAATTGTTGAAATGAATTATCGAATATTCATATTTCTAAATTTTTGTTTGTAATTTGATAATTATTTAGTTAAAAATATAGTAAAACTTGTTAACTACAATTATCTCACGAATAAAATTATTTTTTATAATTTTATAATAATTTAATATTATAAAGAAGCTAAAAGAATACCTATTAAAAATAACACACCACAAAATAAAAGGAATTAAAAAAAATTTCTAAATTTATTTAAATGTATAATCTGTCCTTATTAATAAATAAAATTGTTTAGAAATAGTTATAATAAATAATTATATATATTCATGACCTTGTCTTAGATTTACTTAATAATATATTATTTAATTGATATATATATATATATATAATTTATATAACAAAAGGAGAACATAACAATATAAAAAATAGAAAATTTTTTAAAATTCCCACAGGTTTATTGTCATGCCACGTGTGATGAAGGCTGCCAGCATGTAAAAAAAAAATGCCACATCTGCGTCACATGTCTTATCGGGATTTTCAGACACGAAATCGCATCAAAAGTCCTACTTTTGATTACTTTTTGAAAGTTGTAAGACTATTTGTGATAGTCGCTTTCTTGCGGGACAAAAAATGGCACCCCCCTCAACCTGTGGGACTAGTTTTGAATTTTTCCTCAACCAGAGAGGTGTTGGGTAATATAGCAAAAGATCCCAAAGTACCGAGACCTCGAGATCAATCGCCGCACCTGAACCAATCGCGATCCACCGCGATGCAGCAACAAGCCGCCGAACCCCGTCCTCGGTGACACATGCGCACGACCTTGACGAGCAGCCGCAACCCCGCAACAATCTCGCGCCCTGGCAACGCCCGCGACCCGCGTGCTGTTGCCCCGCTCGAAGCCGATATCTGCGACCCGCTGCGACCCTGTGACGCTCTCGACGAGCTTCTTGAAGTCTGAAGAGAAGAAATCCAGATGCCCAACAAATTTTGAGTTCAGACGATCTCCAACAACGAAAATCTACAATGTCGCAGAGTCTGCAAATTTTAAGCCATGAGTTTTCAACTTTAAACCTCTAGATCCGCTGCGCGTAGGTTTATTGTTGTTGTTTGAATTTGTGACTTGTACTTAACGAGATCTTCGCGGGTCCCAACAAGTGGTATCAGAACCCACAGTTAATTCGTTTTGTAAAAAGTTCAAATTTTTACGGTTTAATGTGATAACTTGTGTTTAAATGCAACCATAAATTGGATTATATTCGCCTAACTCGGTTTTGTAGGAATTAGTTTAATCCACTGTTATGGCTGTATATGTATTTGATTTGTTGTTGCATGGGTTTTTAAAGCGTCGGACATGTCGAAGAATGTTATGGTTGAATGTTTGTAATAATTATTCGCCCGGTGGGACACCAGATAGATTTAATTATTTGTTTAGTCGAACATGTAAACTAGGGCTGAGCATGGAACTTGGAGAATTCCGAACCGTTTTGAAAATCTAACCAAATTACTATGAACCGAAAAATAACCGTTGCCCGTTTGACTTTCTCCAAACGAAATCGAACCGAAAAAATAATTAGTACGGTTCTAGAGATTTCACAAATATCTGTACCGAGAATCAAACCGAACCGTCCCATACCGTATGGAACCGAAGAACTGAAATTAAGAACCGATTTATAACATTAGATGTGTGTTATTAATATATTTTATGTCAACTTTGATCCTATACAATATGAAAATTTTTTAAATGCAAATAAAATATAGTAATAGCAATTAAGTTTCACTTAAATTTCATGCTTAGTAATACTTGATCTACAATTGAATTTTTTCTTTTATAAAAAAATTATTTAAAATTGTATGAAAGATTAAATAATATTTTTTAAGTAAAAGCTATATTATATTTTGTTTGAATTTTAAATTTCTAATATTAGTTGCGCGAATTATATTAGTCTTAATTAAATTTAGAGTTACTTCTAAAGTTGATTTGAAAATAAAATATTTAATATGAGGAAGTATTGGTGAATGTTGATTTTTTTAATGCATATAAAAATTAAATAACTAAAATTTAGAGTTACTTCTACAATTGATTTCAAAATTAAATCTTTAATATGATGAAGTATTGATGAATGTTGTTTTTTTTAAAGTATATAAAATTAAAATACAATTAGGTAGTCGTTCAAAAAAATTCAAAAAATTAAGAAATCTCCGAAGATCTGAACCGAACCATACAAAACCGAACCGTTTCCATAGTCTCGAATACCGAACCAAACCGAATCGAAAAATAAAAATCTCCGAACCGAATCGTCCTGATTTTTTGGTACGGTTTTGGACATCGAATTTATGATCTCCGAATTTTGGTACGATTCTGGAGATTTCTCAATCTCCGAACCGTACCGACCCATGCTCAGCCCTAATGTAAACCCATCTGTGGGTCTAGGATCAGGTTATGTAATTTTTTCATTTAAACTATATTTTTTATCGTGATCGTATGAGGATGAGCGGGAGATTGCCATGACCACGGACCTCGATACTCGAAGGGGCTCGGGCAATGGTGACGGCGGTGATTGGACGCGTGTGTGCGTGAGGGCACGACAGAGGGCTGCCAGGTGTCTAGGCACGCGACACACGATGACCGGGATCTCACGCTGCATGTGATGACCTTGGAGCCTCAATGGGAGAGCCCCAGGCGTGGCAGTGTAGGCCTCGGTGAACGGGCACTGCGAGGAGCGCGGCATGCTCGGTGAGCACCGGGCGAGGCGCTGCAGGGAGGCGCTCCAGGCTTGCGCGCGACGCCCCATGAAGTGCAGCAGCTGGCCGTGTGCGATAAACGCAGGTGACGGCGACAGCTGCCAGGCAAGGATGCGAGCGCGACCAGGCGAGAAATTTTTTTTCCGGCGATCATCATAGCGGCGACAGCGGTGGCGGCCGGCGACATACGACAGCGTGCGGACGACCTTCCGGCGAGCCATGGAGAAGTCTTGCTGGACAATCAGTTAGAGCTCCAATAAGATTCTACTACAGTGGGAGTTCCAAGTGAATTAGGAAAATCAGAAGATCCTATCTGATAGCTTCCTTATTCTAGGGGACTCATTAATTAAAAAGCCATAATAGTTGATTTATTTTCCATAGATAATATTATGCCTATTAATTATTTATGCATGTGATTAATTATTGCTTTATGCATAAGATTAATTTAGAATTGCATAATAATATTAAAGATCCTCAATTAATAATTATACTAACTTTGAGAAAGAATTTTGAAATTAAAAGTAATTTTAAAAATCCTATGGCCTTCATTTCTAGTTTGTTGGTAAATCAATTAATTAAAGTGTGGGCTCTCCCACGGGTGACACTACTTAGATTAATTATAGGAAATTACCAGAACGAACTTCTACTTGGACGCTTATTGAAATTTCTATGAAAGCGTGTGGGCCCCGCCACTAAGGATGTACAATCAAATATGATGACCTTAGGATCGTGAAATGGGATTTACTTAGAATACGATAAATTTTATAAACTCCCCACGGGGTCCCTAATTTTTATTGCATGGGCAAAAGGAAACCGACTATTAGTTTCATTTGCCATGAATGTAGTTTTGTCTTATGAAAGCTAATAGGTTCTCGAAAAACCCTTCTCTTGCAATGTTGAGTACGTAGGGCAACCTACGTAGCACATGTTATTCTCGGTGCTAAAAGAAAATCAACTTACTAGTCCAAATTATATTGATTGGAATAGGAACTTGGAGATAGTGCTGACTGCTGAAGGGTATAAATATCTACTCGTTGAGGCTTGTCTGGATATTCCTGGACCTGTGGCAACATATCAAGAGAAAGAAGAGTATGCCAAATGGAAGAAGACTGATGAGATGGCGAAGTGTTACATTTTGGTTTCTATGTCAAATGTTCTTCAACATCAACATGAGTCAATGCTTACCGCGACAGAAATACCCGTTAATCTCAAAGATCTGTTTGGCCACCAGTCTCGGGCTGCCAGGAAGGAAGCCATGAGGGTACTGATAAACATGCGCATGGCTGAGGGCACAACCCGTAAGGGAACATGCTCTCAAGATCATGGCACAACTCAATGAGCTGGAGGTCCTAGGGACTTTTATCGACGAGGAAACCCAGGTTGATATTATGCTCCATTCTCTGCCAAAGAGCTTTGATCAGTTTTGATTGAACTACGTCATGTATAAGATGTTGATGTCTCTTCAAAACCCTCTGCATTTGACCATCTACTGTCATAACAAAATATTTTCTGCTCTTCTTCTCTAGGCAGTCAGTTTCCATCAGCAAAAGATTGTGATCAGATGATATCATAGGAACATGAAGAACACAAGAATTACGGAACTTAAGGAGCCACTCAGGGGATAACAGAATCCTATCAAGCTTTTCCTCAACAAAATTTGGGCCCTGCCTACCATTTGACCAAGTGAAGGGATGACCAACACTGGGGCTTTCTATCACACCAAGGTTCTAAACAAATCTCCTCAAGCTTTGGAAACTGGCCTCACTCCTGGATAAACCACCCTCTTTTTTTCCTATTGTTAAGAAAATTATTGAAGTCCCCTCCTAGAAACCACAGATCCCCCTAAGTTAGGTGATGTCTACCCAACAGATCTTACTGAAATTGCCTTTCCAGAGAGTTGACACTAGCATAAAGGCAAATAGCCCACATTTTAACCCCTTCCCCTTCCCACAGAAGAACACTTCAAGACTGAAACCATTATTAAAAACCTCCAAAATTTTGATTCTATAGGACCAACCCAACAAAACACCCCCCTTATTACCCACAAGACACACATACTCCAATTTATTAATAAGAGGCAAATTTTTACAGACTATATCTACAAAATATTTTTTTCTTTTCAGTCTCAGAAAGGAAAACAAAATCAAGAAGATAGAATTTTAACTTTCATTCAACTGGAAAATTGTAGAGGATCCCCCCAAACCTCTATAATTCTACACATGAACTCTCATTTATTACTTTGAGACCAGTTGTGTCTAGTTTCCTCCACCACATTTTCAGCTATACCAGTTATCAATTTTTGCCTTTTTGAATTAGGTTCCCAGAAAACTCTAGATAATTTTCTTACTCATTTTTCCTTTTTAGCTTTTGTTTACCAGAATGATCACATTGGGCTACATAAAGCAATTCATCACTCTTAGATTTACTGGCTACCCATTCACTCCTAGTTAATCTGGTAATGGTTTTTTGTTTTTTAGGATTAAGGGAGGCAATTTTACTTTGATTCACTGGCACATTAACAAGGTTACTCAGAGTTAAGCTCTGCCCTTTAAGAGTGTCTAAATCCATTGACTCAATCAATACTTCCTTATTTTTTTGAATCAGAATCACCTTTAGTGCTACCCACTTCTCCTTTACCACAATCCCTAATTCCCTTCTGCTTATTTGCTAAGACACTATCCTCTACTAATTCTGGCCTCACCTCCCCACAATCTTTTAGCAACTTTTGACCCTCTCCCTCACTAGGACCTTCTTCCCCTCTTTGTTGAGTTTTGGCCTTACTAGAAGATCTTTTATCTCTAGAATCACTATGAGCTCCAAAAGAGTTCTTTAACCAATCCCCAAATTGACATGTTCTTAACATGTTCCTTTCAATATATTTTTTTTCTTAAATCACAAGCTCTATCACTATGTCCTATTTTGCCGCAATAGAAGCAAAAAGTCAGCAAATTTTCATACCTAAATTCTATCCAGTGTTCTTCTGATCCCCACTTTATAAATGTTCCTCTAAGGATAGGTTCAAGCGTATTAGTCGAATTGTAAAGAACAATAATGCTAAGGAGCCAACTGTTGGCTCCGTTATGGAGCCAACAACCAATGGGACAGCTCCATGTGGGGCTGTCCCACATGACATGTGGGACAGCCCCACATGGAGCTGTCCCATTGGTTGTTGGCTCTTTAGCACTACTGTTGTAAAGAAAACAACATTGGTGGTACATTCAATGAAATGAAATAAAATATATGAAAAACTAGGACAATTACTGAAAAATGCATACATAATGTATTTTACTACCCTTGTTTTAATAACCAGCCATCCATCACTACTAAATCCATCCTTCAAAGCAAACAACAATTTTTCTCACTTAAAATGGAAGTATTATGCCATACAACTTATTAATTAAAATGATATGAACAGTTTGAGGAAGGTCATATCTTTATTATAGACAATGTCTATTTATCCTTGACTCTTTCTTTGTAAGCTTCCATAACAGCCTTAGCCGTGTCAAGAACATCTTTCCCTTTTTGGGTCTCTGCATTTTCAGACGCCTTCTCAATTCCCTTGTCCGCCACATCCGCCACCATCTGCACATTATAAAGAATAAAAACAGTTTAATGGTACATTTACATATTGAGAAATTTCTCGCTCAAATTGGTAGATTTGGACATAAAGCAAGGACAGCCGATGAAAATTTTAATTTTATACTGCAACTTGAAATTTACTCGCAACCCGTGAGTTAATGGTCAAACCCAATTTGTGTAATGTTATGATTATTATTTGCATTTTTATGTTTACATGGAGCTTGTGATGGGATCAAAATTGTTGATTTATTAACTAAGCAGAGATATTGGTGGAGAAGAAAACTATGAAGAAAAAGCAATGGCATTACCTTTCCAAGAAGAGATAGGTGACCCGATTCCTCTATCAAAAGTCAAATAGTTTTATATATATAATTCGGAAATGTGACAGACTCTCATGATTCGAGTTCTATGTGGCAAAAAGAACCATTATTCGAAATCAGACTTAAGTGTAAACTAGTATTCGATTCTGTACACATGTATAGAGGGAAACAAAAATTTATATATTATATGTACGCATATGATATTCAAAAATTTAAATTAGATAAAGTGTGTAATATATTTCAAATTTTTGACTATATCGAAATGTATAATATAAATATAAATTATTTAACTTCCATATAAATCAATCTTTTATCCTTTTTTTTGTTTTATTGTATAACTATAATATAAAATAGTAATTTTGGCTGTAAAATAATTTAATATTGTATATACAGAAACTTTAAAATCTTGTAAACCTGTTACAGAATAAAATAATAATAATAATAAAATTTTTCTTGTGTAACTATCATTTGTCATAAAGATTTTTATTAAATGATGAAGTCCTATCTTTATTAATTCCCAGCTGAATAAAATTTATTGAATCTTGACAGCAATTATATATATATATATATATATATATATATATATATATAATAATAATTTTTCATACAAAAATTATTAGGCTTAGATTTTATTTAAACTAGTTATAGCTCGTGCGATGCACGGAACAATAACGATTTATTTTATAAATTATAGCAATAAAAGAATATTGATTAGTTTAAAAATGATTTAAAACATTAATATTAATTTTTATATTCTTTTATGATGTATAATAGTCTAATTTATGATCTATTCACCTGTGATAAAATAGCAGTCATTTTAAGTTCATCTTTAAAATTAAGAAATATGAAAAAAAAATCACATATTCATATATTTTCAATATATAATACTCTCTCTCTCTCACTCTCTCTCTCCACTTACATGCCTTATTATAATATATTGTTTTGATTCATAAATAAGTAATGGTAAAAAGTAAGAATATTATAGGAAATATTATAAACTAACACTTAATTGGAAACAACATAGTGATATGTTATTTTAAAATTCTAAGATTTACTGATTTTTAATTACATCAAAATTATGTTTATTTTTTAATTATAATATAATATACTATAAATTAGTTTAATTTTTTTTCTAGTACAGTAATTCATATGACAATTTGACACTAATTGATTTATCATTATAATTTACAAAATATACATATTTTCAATTTTTTCTAAGTTAACGATTTACATCGTTGTTCGATAGATAAAATATTGGTTCATTATTATAATTTATAACAATATATATTATAAATATTATATTTTTTTCCTTTATATGTTAATAATTTAAATGGATCATTCGACATATGAACCATTTGTCATAATTATATATATATATATATATATATATA